GGCTCTGGCATGGCCCATCCTGGGCATTGCTGCTGGGCGTTGGGGACTGTGCCAGAAAAGGAAGACCTCTCTCTCTCTAACTCTCCCTTTTGAATAAATGAAGAAGCCATAACAAATAGGATCTCGAGTCCATGTGCGCGAACGTGGCTGGTTCCTGGCCACCTGGGCCTGTGGCAGATCTGGAATCAGTTTGGGTCTTACATGCCAATAGCTAATTATTGTGACGCTGGATTTCTCTGCCTCGGGGGTGGGCGATGGATGACGGGCAGGGGGCTCCCAGGAGCCTGAAGGGTTCAGGGTTCATGGGTCACCCCGCTCTGGGGACGGAAACCTGGACCGGGTTGTTTGCATCTGCAGGTGTCGCATGTCCTCTGCAAGGGCGCCACCTGTAGGTCGTCGCTGAGGCGGGCAGGCGGACGCTGGAAATGTACCCGAGGATCCCCGGGGAGTCAGGTCTGCAAGGTGTCCTGGCCGGGGACCCAGGTGGAGGCAGGCCCTGACCGGGAACGAAAGAGCCGCCCGTGCAGGTGGACCGAGCTGGCCAAGGCCACAGCCAGGATGTCAGCCAAGGGGGCCTGCACAGGTGCCAGCCGTCTGTCCCGATTTGCCGGGGACTCTGTCAGGTCCAGTGTCCCCGGGAAAACTGTGTTCTAGTTTCACAGCTGACAGCCTCCCGGGGACGCACGCACGGGCCGTGCGGGGAACTGGGACAGCAGGCCACACCGCACACGGCAGCTCTGTCAGACTCCGGTCTCTGCCTGGCGTGGCACGGCTCAGCGTTCTGGAACCATGAAGGCCTTTCCCCACGCCCCCCACCCTGACAGGGCCTCCCACTCTGAAAGCCAGGGGCATCGCTACCCTCCCCCCAGCCTGTCCTGAGTGGGAAACTTCAGGAAGCACAACTTTATGGGGCTTGAATAAACATGAAGTAGCAGATTTGTAAGTGAACCTGACAGTTCAGGTCCTGGCTGCTCCACTTCTGATCCAGCTCCCTCCCGTACCTGAGAAAGCAGCAGAGGACGGCCCAAGCGCTTCAGACCCTGCACTCACACGGGAGACCCAGAAGAAGCTCCTGGCTCCTGGTCAGCTCAGCTCTGGCTGTGGCGGCCACTTGGGGAGTGAAACCAGTGGATGGAAGATCCTTCTGTCTCTCCTCTCTGCAAGTCTACTTTTCCAAGAAAATAAATAATTCCTTAAGAAGATTTACTTTGGGACCTGGTGCAGTAGCCTAGCAGCTAAAGTCCTTGCCTTGCACCTGCTGGGATCCCATATCGGCGCCGGCTCATATCCCTGCTTGTGACCTGGGAAAGCAGTTGAGGACAGCACAAAGCCTTGGGACCCTGTATCCACGTGGGAGACCTGGAAGAGGTTCCTGGCTCCTGGCTTCGGATTGGCTCAACTCTGACCATTATGGCGACTTGGGGAGTGAACCTGTGGATGGAAGATCTTCCTCTATTTATATCTGACTTTCTAATTAAAATAAACAAATTTTTAAAAGAAGATTTATTTATTTCTTTGAGAGTTTCAGAGAGGAGAGAGAGATCTTCCACTGTACCATCCTTGGTGCTTTCCCAGGCCATCAGCAGGGAGCTGGGAGCTGGTACGGGCTGCCAGCACTGCGTGCGGGTGCAGGCTTAGCTCATCAAACCACAATGCGGATCCCTCGCCTGCCGGCGGACACCTGGGCCGATGCCGTGGTGGGGGGAGCCGCAGTGGGCACGATGCCCTGGTGGGGGGAGCCACAGTGGGCACGATGCCCTGGTGGGGGGAGCCGCAGTGGGCGCCATTCTCTGGTGGGGGGAGCCACAGTGGGCACGATGCCGTGGTGGGGGGAGCCGCAGTGGGCACGATGCCATGGGCGGGTGGATTAGCACAGTGGTGGGAGGCCGTGGTGGGAGAGCCGCAGTGCGCTCAGGAGGGTAGGTGTGTGTCCAGTGTGTTGTCTCAGTTCCTCTGGCTGGGGAGTGACAATGCTGGGTGTCCTGGAGCCTTCGGGGAGTTGCTAAGTGGGAGAAGTCGCAAGGCGGGCAGCCTCTGTCTGTCCGGTGCCAGCTGGGGTGTGCGGGATCCATTCCCCGCGCTGCGGCAGACAGCAGAGCTTAGCCTAGCTCGTGATTCTCTTGCCTTCACTTGTTATGTAACTGGAGCTTCCTGCACCAGAGCCTTGGAGCTGGTGGTTGGGGGGTTGGAGTCGGGGAGGAGAGGCAGAGAGAGAGAGAGAGAGAGAGAGAGAAAGGCAGTGAGGCTCAGCAGCCGCCACCCCTCATGGCCCTGGGGAGTCTTCAGGCGCTGAGCCCATAAAACACAGGTGCTGATGAGAAAGCCCCCTGGCCTCTCCCTCCTCGGTTGTCTGGGTCCCCCTGGCCCTCCCTGGTTCTCTGAGCTCCTCTGGCCCACCCCCCTCCTTGGTTCTCTGGGGTCCCCCGGCCCTCCCCTCCCCGGTTTTCCAGGTTCCCCCCGCCACGTGCACCTGTGGATGAAGTGACTCCGGAGCCGGGCTGGGAGGGGTTCAGAACCTCAGTCTGCATCGTGACACGGGAGAGGGGGAGGAGTGGGGAGGGTCAGCAGGGCTCGGGGGAGAAGCCCGGCCTGCAGGCCCTGTGCACCTGCCACAGCGGAGCTGCACCTGCTGATGCTCCCGGACTGTCTCCATTTGGAAAAGGAGGGTGGTGACGGTGGTGCTGTGCTGGCTGAGAGGGAGGGGCAGCCCAGAGGGGAATGGGGCAGCCCAGAGGGGGAGGAGCAGTCCAGAGGGGGAGGGGTTATTCCAGAGGGGGAGGGGTTATTCCAAAGGGGGAGGGTCAGCCCAGAGGGGGAGGGTCAGTCCAGAGAGGGAGGGTCAGTCCAGAGGGGGAGGGGCAGCCCAGAGGGGGAGGGTCAGCCCAGAGGGGGAGGGGCAGCCTAGAGGGGGAGGGGCAGCCTAGAGGGGGAGGGTCAGTCCAGAGGGGGAGGGTCAGCCCAGAGGGGGAGGGTCAGCCCAGAGGGGGAGGGTCAGTCCAGAGCTGAGGAGGAGCTTTGCACGTACAATGCAGGGAAGGCGGTGAACACTGGGTGTGCCTGAGGCTTGCATCCAAGCCTGAGTGAGAAACAGAGCCTGTGGGCACACGTGAGCACGCTCGCCTCCATCCACTGGTTCACTCTCCAAATGGCTGCAACAGCCAGAGCCGGGCTAAGCTGGAACTGCATTTGGGTCTCCATGTGGGCGTAGGGCCCATCCTCCACTGCTTTTCATGGGCCATTAGCAGCAAGCTACATTAGAGCTGGAGCAGCCGGGACCGATGTGGGATGCCGGCGTTGCGAGTGGAGGATTAGTGTGCCGTGCCACAACACCAGTCACAGACGCCATAGGCCACGCACTTGCCCTCCCCCAACTTTCTGTGTGAGAGATGTCCTTCCTGTCCTTGCTTGGTCCCTTTTGCCCCTGGACCCCTGAGATGTCCCTTTTGCGCCAACACTGGAAGTGTGTTTTGGCCAGCTCCCAATCCGGGACGCCCCTGGGTACTTATTGTGCCCGGTGTCAAAGAGGCAAGGGCAGGCGCACTAACACGTGTGGCAGACACTCTCCGGTCGTAGCACAGTCCGTATTCACAAATGTCTCAGTTAAAAAAAAAATAGCCTTGCTTAAGTTGGTTTGTCAAAATCAGAAGCTAGATAAAAGCCATGTTTAATAGATATGCTGATTCAGTGATGACAAAATCCTCAGCCGGTTCTGCTGAGGATAGGGCTTTCTTTCTTTTTATTTATTTTTATTTATTCTTTCTATTTATTTATTTTTTAGTTGGAAAGGCAGATTTCAGAGGACAGAGAGAGAGGTCATCCATCCACTGATGCACTCCCCAAATGACCGCCATGAGCTGCGCTGGAGCCTAAGCCAGGAGCCAGGGGCCTCTTCCGGGTCTCCCACGCGGGTGCAGGGTCCCAAGGCTTTGGGCCGTCCTCCACTGCTTTCCCAGGTCACAGGCAGGAGCTGGATGGGGAGTGGGGCTGCCGGGATTAGAACCTGCGCCCATGAGGGATGCCACAAGACAGAGGATTAGCGAGTTGAGCTGTCACAGCAGCCCCTCCAGCAGGTGTCTTTACAGTCGTTAATATCTAGCACTTCACTCTTACGAGACTGTGTGATTTATCTCAGCACGTGTCATGAATATTCATGGGCCCTCCCTCCTGCAACGGGCGTGACTCTATGTTGTCAGGGATGTTCTCGTGTTCTCACAGCAGACGCCCGCAGGGAGCTTGATGACTCAGACGTCCGGCTGCCGTCTCCGCAGCCCTGCTGTTTGTCCCCATCTATTTGCAAAGCAGAGAACTGCGGATAGACACGGAGTTCCCGTCCAGATTCCTGCAATGGCGGCGAGGTGGAACTCAGCCCGGGTCTCCCACAGGGCAGGCAGGACCCTGTCGTTTGCTGCTCCAGCATCTCCTGCCCCGGCGCCCCCTGCGGCGGCGCCCCTGCCCCGGCGCCCCCTGCCCCGGCGCCCCCTGCCCCGGCGCCCCCTGCCCCGGCACCCCCTGCCCCGGCGCCTCCTGCCCCGGCGCCCCTGCCCCGGCGCCCCCTGCCCCGGCGCCCCCTGCCCCGGCGCCCCCTGCCCCCATTACACCAAACACCCACCCCTTTGTTTGTTCTTGGCATCTTTTTTTTTTTTTAACTAAAGGTGAAACAGTACTTTTTTTTTGAAGATTGATTTATTTATTTGAAAGGCAGAGTTACAGAGGAAGAGATCGACAGATCTTCCATCCACTGGTTCACTCCCCAAATGGCCACAGTGACCAGAGCTGAGCCGGTCGGAAGCCAGGAGCTTCCTCCTGGTCTCCCACACAGGTGCAGGGTCCCAAGGTTTTGGACCATCCTCCACTGTTTTCCCAGGCCACACACCGGTGACGACGTGGGATCACAGAGCAGGTGAGGCTCCTGCTATGGGATTAGCAGGCTGAGGGGAGAGGAGACCCCAGGGGTATCCCCTCGTCCTTCCTGGCCCAGCCATATCCAAGCCGGGAGGGCGCCCTCCCCAGGACGGTGAGACTTCCCACGCCCTCCACGCGTTTTAAGGTGCACCTGCTCGGGATCTTCCCGGGTGTGGTACCCAGCACTCCGCATCGGGCAGGGCGCTCCGAAGAGCGGCAGGGGCCTGGCCTTTCCAGCCCAGGCCTGCCTACGGACAGCTGGCAGATGTGCGGGGAGCGTTGGGGGCATGCAAAGGGAGCATGCTGACTGCAGCTTTTGCAGCTTTCGGATTTGTGGTCCTGCTGCGTTCTACTTCGTTGAATTCTTTGCATTAAAAACATGCTGTTGTGGAAAAGTTGAAAAAGAAGGGAGGGAGAGAAGTACGATTGTATCAAAATTGTATCGCTGAGGGGTGGGTGCTGTGGCATGGCAGAGTAAGCTCCACTTCCCGTGCAGCTCTCTGTGGACACCCCCGGGGAGGGAGCAGAGGCCGCCCGGTGCTCCTGCGGGGAGAGCAAGGCCTGCAAGGGCCACGAGCCCCTTAGTGCCCAGTGCTCCTCCTAAGCACCACGGACAGAACCGCCAGCCCGGCTCAGCCCCTACACCCGCTCGGCCGTTCTGACCCCGCCGCCCCGCTGTGGGTGGGGGCCGGCAGGAAGCACTCTCACGCATTTGCAAAGATTACTGCGTATTTAGCACGGGCAGTCACTATTTCTCAACCTTACACAACAGCCCTGTCCTGTGTATATTGTCACGGTCCAGGACACTTAAAGGGGCTACAATCAGAACATTCGGGATGGTGGCGGGGGCGCAGGGCAGCTGGAGCCTCAGAAGTCTTCTCCCGCTGCAGGAAGTCAGGGGGACGGGGCACAGGTGTCTGGTCTAGACCCAGCTTCCTGGGGGCCTCTGGCCCAGGGCACGGCGTGCATTGCGACAATGCAGGGTGACCAGTGTGCACAGGGCAGCAAGGACGAGGCCGGCCAGCCCCAGGCGGACGAGATTCCCAAATGTGTAGTCCGGGGGGTGCAGGTCTGTGGTCAAGCAGAGGAAGAGAGGCGGTTACCTCTGGACTCTGCCTGGCAGGCCTCCAACCCCAGGATGCAGGTGGGAGTAGGGACCTACTGGAGTGGGGGGCGGCAACTGAGGGAGGAGAGGCTGGGCTGGACCCCTGGGTGTGAGGGAGGAGGCGCTGGACCCCTGGGTCTGAGGGAGGAGGGGCTGGGCTGGACCCCTGGGTGTGAGGGAGGAGGGGCTGGACCCCTGGGTGTGAGGGAAGAGGGGCTGGACCCCTGGGTGTGAGGGAGGAGGGGCTGGGCTGGACCCCTGGGTGTGAGGGAGGAGGGGCTGGGCTGGACCCCTGGGAGTGAGGGAGGAGGGGCTGGGCTGGACCCCCAGATCAAGCCAGGAGAGGTCCTGGCCCCGGGCTAGCTCACCTGCGTGGGCGCGCACCTCCAGCGGCTCACTACGCAGCGACAGCACGTAGGGCCTGTGTGGCGTGTGGTAGTAGCAGCTGTAGGTGCCGGGGGCGTGGGCGCCGGCCAGCGGGAAGTCGGCCCAGGGCTCGGCCGAGTCGCGGTACTGCACCGGGTCCGCCTCGCCGGCGCGGTACAGCGCGAAGCTCATGCCGGGCACGCGGGCCGCGCAGCGCAGGCTCACGGTGGCCCCAGGCGCCACCACGGGCCCGGGCAGCGCCACCAGCGACGGCCGCGGCAGCTGCTCTGTGCGCAAGGAGGGCGCAGGGACTGAGTGCCGGGCGCGCCCCTGCGTCCTCACCCCGCCCCGGGCCCCGTCCCGGGGTCTCACCGGCCACCAGCAGCTCCAGGACGTCGCTGGGCTGCGACCAGACACTCGGTCCCCGGTCTGGCAGCCCGTATCTGCACGTGTAGGCGCCGCCCTGGGCAAGCGTCACCTCCTCCAGGAAGAATTCGTCCAGGTCCGAGGACACGTACACACTCTCTCCGAGCCTGAAGAAGGCGAACCTCCAGGCTGGGCGCGGGGCATGGCACCTCAAGGTCACGTTGATCCCCGGGGTCACCACGGCGGCCGGCTGTGCCGTCAGCCGCGGCTTGGGGTAGGAAGCTGCGGGAACGAACGCATCGCGACCTAGTGCGAGCAGCCAGGACGGGTGGGAGGGGAGGGGAAGTCGGGGAAGGAAGAAGGCCACCTGGCCAGCCTCGGGTCCCTGCTGTGGCGCTGGCTGGAGTCCCGGCAGCTCCACCTCCCATCCAGCTCCGGCTGACACCCGTGGGAAGCAGCAGAGGATGGTCCAAGTGCTTGGGTCCCTGCACCCCTTAACCCAAGTTAAGGCGATGGTTAACACTCCATCAAGCCCCATGAGTTCAACAAAGCAAGTGTTGGGCACAGTGGTGACTTCATCAGGATGCCCGGAGTAGGTGACCAGGGACCACTCCACAAGACGCCCCTCTGGAGGTGCTCCCGGCTGTCAGACTGGGAGGGTGAGCGGGCCGGAAGCCATGCGCATGTCAGTGGAAATGGGACTGGCTAGGCAAGCTGGACTCCAGCCACCCATGCCAGGGCAGGTACGAGGCTCAGACCTGAACCGGAACCCTTAGCGATGGCACGCCACGGGCTACCTCCAGGAGAGACTGAGATGAAGAGGAGGGGAGACCCAGAACAGCAGGGAACTGGGTCCCAGAGGACCAGGTTAGCCTTGCCAGCGCAGGGGGCGGGGAGGGCTATAAACACCCGTGCCTGTGTGAGTGCATGGAAATGTCTGCTAAGAGTTCAGAGGATTATTCAAGGCGCCAGGGAGAGGGCAGAGGCCAGCATCGGGCCTTCCGTGATGTCTGAGTCTTTCAAACCGTGCCTACACATTTCTTTATCATTTCGGATGAAGAGATGGCTGAGAGATGACTCCTGTTCCCACCAGGCAGCTCTCAGCAGAAGTCCGCACGCTGTAGGTGAGGGAGGAGAGCGGGGCAGAGACCCAGAGCTGGGGGGGGACCCCACCTGTGTCAGGGCATGGTCGACACTCCAGGTGCTGGGCCCAGGGCATGTGTCCCTGCACACACAGGGTCCCCGTGAGCTAAGGGTCTCTGAAGGCCGTGTGGTTAATGGGGGACGGGAGCCAGGGCTCTGCACCCCCATGCGAGGATGGCCCGGAGGAGACAGGGAGGAGGGGCAGGTGAGCAGCACGCAGGAGAGCGATGGGTGTCCTGTTACTCACCAGAGGGGGTGGAGGCTGCCTGGCACAGAGGCCCTGGAGAAGGGAGGATTTCTGGTACTTCTCAGAGCACTCCCCACCGCCCACCTAGGACCTCAAACCCTGCTCTCCTGTGCCAACCCCACCCCTGCTCCCCCTCCTCTCCACACACGCCACGCCCGCAGGCCGCACTTTCTTTGAAGATCAGCTCTCCACCGCCTCTGGTCCCAGCCCCACCTCCGCATCTGGGGGTCCGCATGCCCTGCCTCGGGGTCCCTCTACCGCCTCCTCTCCCTGAGGACCCCCGTCTGTGACGCCTGCCCAGCCAGGGCCCCGGGGGCACTCACAGAGGGTCAGCAATCCCAGGGCTCCCACCAGGGCCATGCTGGACAGCTGTCCACTGCAGCTGGCCCGGGCTCGGTTCCCCTTCCAGGAAGTGAGACAGCTTAAGGCCGGCAGGACCCTTGGGGGGAGGGGAGGAAGAAGTTGGGGTTTCCCGGTGGTTGTGTCATAGCCCCGTGATGCAGCAGGAAGCATTGAAACAGGCAACAACCTTACGCTGTTTGTGTGTTTGGTTTTGTTTTTAGATCTCTTTATTTCTAAGAGTGACCGAGAGGGAAAGACAGAGAGCCACCTGCTCACTCCCCAAATGGTTTCAGTGGCCAAGGCTGCGCAGGCTGTCAGGAGCTGCATCCAGGTCTCCCATGGGGGTGCAGGGCACCAGGGCTTCGGGCTTTCCCAGGCCACAAGCGGGGAACGGGATGGGACGTGGAAAAACCAGGACCCCGATGGGATGCCGGCACCGCAGGCTGCATATACTGGCTAACGCCACAGCGCCGGCCCCAACCCTCCTCTCTTCATTCAGTTTCTCCATATGTGTTTTTGAGGTGTCTGCGTGTTATGTGCCAGGCCCTTGTGGCACTGCTCTGGGGCTCACAGAGGGACACACTGCCTAGCCTGACCAAAGGGCGCATGCATGCACAGAGCCTTAAACGGGCTGCGGCAGGACTGCGAGTCGCTCCTCCGCAGGGAGCTCCACGTCGAGAGCAGAGCCCCTGCAGGTAAGCATGCAAGGTCAGACTTGCACCTGAACTCCGTTAGGAAGAAGGCGCCTCTACTTGGGAAGGGAGTCTGCAAGGACTCAGACGGCGGAGCCTCCCGCGCGGGGACTACAACTCCCAGAGGACACCGCCTGCCTCAGGGCGCATGCGTGGACTCGGAGCCCGCCGCCTCTCTGCGCGGGAACTACAACTCCCAGAGTGCCTTGCACCGCCGCGACCAAGATGGCCGGGAGTAAGTGCAGGTTCTGCGGGCGCGCGGGGTCGGAAGGACCCGGGCTTCCCCGGGCAGGGCGGGCGCTGAGACGCGGTGCTCCGCTGCCCGGGGGGCGCCGGGAGCCGTGCCCAGCGGGTCGCGGGCGCCGGGGGCGATGCGGGGGGCTGGAGGTCACCGGGGACAGCCCTCCGTGACCCTCGCTGCCCTGCAGGACTCGCCGCCTTCCTCAGGAACGCCTGGGCCAAGGAGCCGGTGCTGGTCGTGTCCTTCGCCATCGCGGGGCTGGGTGCGTGAGTGTCCCAGCGCGGCCCCCAGCCTCCAAGAGTCAGGATTGTTCTGGAACGTTCCCCAGCCACACGCACCTGTCCTGGGATCTGGAACGTTCCACACACACAGCCGCCCTGGGATCCCGCGGGTCCCCGGCCCCGACCTCATCCCTGTGTCTCTCCACAGCCGTCATTCTGCCCCCGCTCAGCCCCTTCACCAAGTACTCCACCATGATCAACCAGGCCACACCCTACAACTACCCAGGTGAGCGGGAGCCGGCGGTTGGGGTTTGGGGTGTTTGAGGTGTGCGTCTCGTGCCCATGCTCTGGACCTCCGGACCCTCCACCTGTGTGTCTCTGGGCCTGCCCCCTGCCTCCACTCCTCCCTGGCCCCTCACCCCCAGCCCCAGTCCTTCCCTGCCTTCACTCCTCTCGGCCCCCAGTCCCCCCTGCCCCTCACCCCTAGCCCGTCTCCCCTGCCCTCACTCCCCCCCGCCCTCACTCCTGCCCGGCCCCCAGTCCCCCCTGCCCCTCACCCCTAGCCTGTCTCCCCTGCCCTCACTCCTCCAGGGCCCCCAGTCCTCCCTGTTCCTCACCCCTTCTCTGCCCCTCACCCTGGGCTCCTGCAGAGGCGCTGGTCTCAGGGACCCCTCCCGCCCCGCAGTGCCCCTCCGTGACAACGGCAACCTGCCCGATGTGCCCAGCCACCCGCAGGACCCCCAGGGCCCCAGCCTGGAGTGGCTCAAGAAGCTGTGAACGCCTGTGTGGAGACCCCAATAAACCTGCGGAGACCTCCGTACCCATCCGAGTGTGATCTGAGGCTGGGTGGGGGTGGGTCTGTTTATTGGGGGAGGGGTCAGTCAAAGGGTGGGCTGGCCAGGGTCGGGTAGGGCAGCAGCTTGTCAGGCCCCCGAGAAACCCAGCTGGAATCTAGGGCCTCGTCGGTCTCGAAGCCGAAGTCTTCCTCCACCTTAATCTGGGGGTGATGAGGGAGCTGTGAGCAGGGAGGCGCCTGGACCCACGGCCCACCCGCGGCCCCCTCGCCACAGGCAGGGCTCCCAGCCTCGACCGTCCTGCTCCCTCCTGCTCCCACCTGCATTGGGGGTTCTGGGGTCAGCGCTGCCCCTGGCCGTCGCATGTCCCGGGGCGCTCGCCGCCTCCTGCGCCCGCTGGGCCCCTCTCCGGGCGCTGGGCTGCTGGGTTCTGGGGGCACGGGCGTGCTTCCGGGTGGAGACAGCCCCTCCTTGTCTGGAGGCTCATTCTCCGTGTTGCCAGGGGTCGGGGCGTCCGTGCCCTGGCTGCCCTCGTCCTGCGCAGGGAAAGGGGCAGCTGAAGGGGGTGCCCAGGCCCCACTCTCCCTGCACTCCCCACAGCTGGCCTGGAGCTGCCGCGCACCTCTAGCACGATGGTGAACTGGCTTGCCCGGTAGTCGTCCCCGTAGGAGTCCAGCACTTTCATGAGGAACCTGTGTGTGGAGACGACACGGGTGGACACGGCCGGGTGGGGGGCGCCGGCCACAGGGACACAGTCCTTGGGGGGTTTCAGGGTCCAGCAGGGGAGGCGAGTGGCAGCAGGCCAAGTGAGGGGGCAGGGCCAGGCCTGCGTGAGGGGTGAGTGTGGATCAGCCTCAGTTGCCCCCTAGTCCTCCTGCTGCTGGCTGGTGGTGCAGACAGGCAGGACACCTGGATGCCTGGGACCAAAGACCCGGGTCTGGGCTTCCTGAGGGTGGAGCCGTGGTTACGCCGGTACCCGAGAGGTCCGTGTCCGTCCAGGGGGCATGCGGAGTTCAGGGAGGAGCTGTGAGGAGCTGGGCGGCTGGTGGCCTCCAGATCAGGGACGCAGGGACCGTCTGGGCGTGCTTCTACACTGGCCACCAGGGGCAGTGCTGAGCCCAGTGCACCCGGGGACCAAGGTCTGATGCCCCTTCGAATTGAAGCAGCACCCACCCCTGTGCCGAGCGACACCCACCAAGGGTGCCAAGACGGAAAGCCTGGGAAGTCCAGGAGATGGGAGCCAGTGCATGACCAGGATGCCAAGGCAGTGGTGCCTGGAGGTGCCTGTCCTGCAGCAGGTGCAGTGGGGCCCCTCAGCCGGCTTGTTCCTGCTTAATAGCAGAGGGGACACTAAGTGACAGGGCCAGTGCTCAACTGGCATGCTGCAGAGCCTGGTCACACCACGAGGGGCCATCAGCTGAGCCTGGTCACACAGTGGGGCCCTCTGAGCCTGGCACTTGGGACCAGCCTTCACAGCACAGCAGGGGCTGGATCTGGGGCCCAGGTCGCCCCCTTTCCACTCTGCTGCCCTTCGCTCTCTTCCGGTGCCCAGTCCCGTAGGAGGGCCCCCCTGACCTCCCGCCCCGGGGTTACCTGCGCTCCTGCTGTAGCCGCCGGGTGATCCTCTGCACTTGGTGCAGCCTGTTCAAGACCCTCTCGTTCACCTGTGGGCAGCAGGAAGTGGCCGGTGCTGTGGGTCCCCGCCCACCAGAGACTCAGGACGGGTCACAGCCCCTTCCTGGGGCCCCTCTTGGGAGACCCCCTCCTGCAAAGCTTGCTGCCCACTGCAGCAGGCTAGCCTGGCACTCAGTTCCCACCCTTCACCAGTACCTGCACCCCACTCCCCACAGCCTGGTGCACCTGCTATACGCTCAGACCTCCTGCTGGGCCATGCCCCTCACACACACAACACACACACACACACACACAGTGTACCCACGCTGGGCCATGCCCCTCACACACACACTGTCCTCACCCACACTACACCTGCTGGGCCAGTCCCTGTCTCCCCAGCCACAGCAGGAGCTGCAGACAGGTGGTGCTGGCAGTCCCACACCCACCCTGTGCCCACTGACAACACACAGGCCGACTCGCCAAGGCCTGAGTGAGCCGGGACATGAAGCCCACATGAGCACCCTAGACAGGGAATGTGACCGAGCAAGCAGGAACCCGGTGTGGTGGTGACACAGCCAGGTCTCAGAAAGACCCGGGTTCCAGCCCTGGCCCCATCCCTTTTCAGCTGGTGGGCACGGGTAAGTGGCCCTCCCTTCTTCCTGCACGGGTGAAATGGGGGGTGTTAACGGCAACAGCATCCCTGGGCGGGTACCTGGGGGCAGAGGCCCTGATGCCTCCCCAGGGTCTGGGCTTCCAGCCTCTCCCAGAACCCCAACACCACTTCAACCCTCCTGCTCACTTCACAAAAAAGCTGGGGTGTTGGAGGCAGGGTCTTACAGAGGTGACTAAGTTCAAGGAGCATTGGCTGAAAGACCTGATCCAGCAAGCCGACCTTACGCGGGGAGACCGACATGGGGAGAGGGCCAAGGCAGGGCTCAGGTGCAGCCCAAGAGCCACAGGACGCCCAGGATGACAGGGAGCTGCGGCAGAGGCCCGGGAAGAGGCGCATCTTTGCTGGCCCAAATGGTGTGCACCCCAGTATTCCCAGTTTGAAACGCCTCAGTTGCGCCTTCTGACGCGCAAGAAGGGGGAAAAACAAAAAACCAACAGGTGCGCCTGCCTCCTGCTCCATCCTCACCCTCGCCACGGAAGGGCCTGCAGAACCGCCAGCCCTCCCCGGGCACAGGAGGCAGGGGAGCCTGGAGCCGTCCTGGAGGCCCCCGGCGGAGAAGGGGGCGCACCCCACGCTCCGCCAGCAAGGGCGCCCAAGCTAACGCGCGCAGGAGGGACGCACCTGCTCGATCTCCCGGCAGCGCCGCCCCAGCGCCTGGTACTTCCTGCGGTTCAGCTCCCGCTGGCGCCGCCGCCGGCCCCGGGCCGCCTCCTCCTCTTCATCTCGCTCCCGGAGCCCCGAGCCGCCCAGGCCGCCGGACACGAACTCCACCTCCGTCTCCAGCTCGCTCTCCAGGATGTGGCCCCCGAAGAGCGGGGGCAGCGCCAGCTCCGAGCCCGGAGGCGCCGAGAACTCCTCGAAGCCCACGGCTGCCATGGTCCTGGAGGGTCGGGGACGGGGTGTGGGGGCTCAGGGAGGACCCCAGCGCGCTCCCGTCCCTCGGGCCAAGGGCCCCGGCGCAGCCGCCCCGTACCCACGCGCACCCCGCGGGGCCTCCGGGACTGCACGCCTCACCCCTCTCGCTGCTCCAGCTCCATGTCTGCCCGGCTCCGGGCGCCCCCGCCTCCTGGGGGGCTGTCGCGTGCTCCTGGCGGGTCTGGCGCCTACGGCCCCCTGCGCCCCATGCCCACCCACCGCCACCCCGAGGCGCGCCCCCCAAGGCCCGGCTCTGGCGTCCGAGACTCCCGTCGCCGCCCGCTCGTCCCGCCGCTGCCGTCCACCCTCGGCGATGCCCCGCCTCGGCAGCCTCGCGGTCTCGTCCACGCACGGCCCGCGGGAGCCCACCGATGCCCCGGCCACCACCGGCTCGTCTGCGGACACACCGGGGCTGCGCCCGAGCGCACGTCCCAATAAAGTTGTTGTTGCAAACGCGGTCGGGGCGGCGGCCAATCAGAACGCAGCTCGGCTTCCGCGGCCGGCGCGGGTGTGGGACGTCATCCGGGAGCGCCGGCCACTCCGGGGGAAGCTCCGCTGGCTAGGAACGGTCGATCCGGGAGGCAGGTGAGGGTGATGGCGGGGCGTGGAGGGCGGGAGGCCGCGTGCGAGGACACAGGCGGCCCTTCGGGGACTCCCTCCCCGGCGAGGGGGTGTCACCCTGTCCCAGCCGGGGCTGCAGCTCTGATGGACGGCGTCCTTAACCAGGGGGTCCCGCAGAGTCTGGGGCGCGGGTCAGCAAGGCTGCCTGCTGAGGTCTGGGTGGACAGCAGTGGGTCCCCCAGGTGCAGGGAGAGGTGCAGGCCACCTTAACCAGGGAGTCCCCCAGTATCCTGGGCGCGGGTCAGCAAGGCTGCCTGCTGTAATGTGCAGGTGCAGTGGGGGGTGCGGGCCTGGGGCTGGCCACGATGGGGCAGAGCCGCCCTAGGCAGCTGGGTACAGTACCGGTCCGCACCAGGAAGGGGGTGGCTCAGCAAATCAGAGCTGCAGCTAGGATCCCCCCACACCACCCCCGCAGCCAGGAGAGTGAGGGCTTCCTTGAAGGGGCCGGGGTGAGGTAGGACGGGCCAGGTCCTCGCTTGCCAGGTGTGAGGGCACCCGCCTTCCCCAGCAGGCCCCAGGATGTCTCTGGCCGATGAGCTCCTGGCTGACCTGGAAGAGGCGGCTGAGGAGGAAGAGGGAGGAAGTTATGGGGAGGAAGAGGAGGAACCGACCATCGAGGATGTGCAGGAGGACACGCAGCTGGACCTCTCGGGAGATTCAGTCAAGAGCATCGCCAAGCTATGGGACAGCAAGATGGTGAGAGAGGACTGCCCTGGGGATGAGCCAGGGTGAGCGGAGCTCCCCGAGGGGGAGATGGGGCGGTGGCCGCTGGCTGTGTGGGAAAGCTCCGGCTCTGAGCCCGCTCTGCTTGCCCGGCAGTTCGCCGAGATCATGATGAAGATCGAAGAGTACATCAGCAAGCAAGCCCAGGCGGCCGAAGGTGCTGTCCCTCCCGGGCCCCGCCGCGGTGCCCCTTGGCTCTGTCCCTCCTCCTGCTTCTTGCTTCCCGCTGGGTCCTGGAGCTCGTGTTGCTGTCTGCTTTTAAAAGATGTGTTTATTCATCTGAAAGGCAGAGCTGCAGAGAGAGAGAAACAGATCTTGCATCTGCTGGTTCACTGCCCAGTGGGCACAATGGCCACCAAGGCTGGGTCAGACCAAAGCCAGGAGCCAGGAGCTTCCTCCATGTCTCCCACGCGGGGGCAGGGCCCGAGCACTGGGACCCTCCTCTGCTGCCTTGCCAGGCGCAGCAGCCGGGACGGGAACCCACACTCGGGCAGGGTGCTGGTCCTGCAGGTGCTGGCTTGCCACACTGTGCCACAAGGCTGGCCCCCCTGTTGTGTTTGTCCAGAAAGGAAACTTCACTGCTTGGAGGACTTGGTAAAGATATTAGCTGTAAAAAGAAATATACAGTTACTCAGTTCCTACCTAAAAATCTGCCCTCTCCCAAGCTGAGGGCCCACTGGGTCTCCTGGGGAAGACGCAGGTCCACCCTGGGGAAGGCTGTCCTGGTTCCGCCGCCTTCTTCCTTTTATCATGGCAGTGTTGGGGGCTCTTGGGCTGCACCCTCTGGCAACAGGGAACGGGGGGATGTGGTCAGAGGGACTGGGATGCCAGCTGCTTCATCTAGTGTTCCTTGCCTAGGTCCGCACTGTCAGCTGTGTTGGGCTTTAGTATAGGCGGCTGGCTGGGCCCAGGCAGTTATTGGAGGTGGTTACTGCAGGCGGACTGGCAGGTTCTGCCTCTGGGACCCCTGAGCTGGATCCCGGAGCCAAGCAGAGGGGAAGGGGAACAGCTGAGCTCTGGGCCCAGGAGCTATGCTGAGGCGCTTCTGCGTTCAGAGTCGAAAGCAGGTTGAGTCAGACAGGGTCACACCTAGTATCCACGGTTGGAGGACAGGACGGCGCACAGCATCTCAAAGTCAGGTGACCCACAGGTGCCAGGAGGCACCTGCCCCTCTCAGAACATGAGCCAGATGTAGTTCACAGGCACTGAGGTTTGGGGCCCCGAGCACCCCTCACCATCAACTCCCAGGCCTTGGCTGTGGCCTCCCAGCCTCTCCCCTGCCCCCTCCTATTTCCCCAGGGGTGGGGCCAGGGAGGGCACACTCGAAGTAAGCGCCCCACCCCGCTGTGTCCCCCACAGTAATGGGACCCGTGGAGGCAGCCCCCGAGTACCGCGTCATCGTCGATGCCAACAACCTCACAGTGGAGATTGAGAACGAGCTGAGTGAGTGCCCGGCACCCCTGTCCCCCGACATAGCTGCCCCTGCCCCCCCACACACACACGAGGGAGGGACAGCGCCCTTCCAGTCGCAGCCTCCACAGGCCGGGAGTTGTCATGCAGTTTGCAGCTGGGAAATGCCGTGTCCCGTGCTGGCTCCTGAGGGCTGAGTTACGGCTGAGGGGGGCTTGGATGCCACAGGAGGAAGGGGAGGTGGGTCCCGGGAGAGAGTCGTCGTCAGCCAGCGTCCCTGCCTTCCCCTGTAGACATTATTCACAAGTTCATCCGGGATAAGTACTCTAAGAGGTTCCCCGAGCTGGAGTCCCTGGTGCCCAACGCGCTGGATTATATCCGCACGGTGAAGGTGGGTGCAGCCGGTGGGGCTGGGGCCAGGGGAGCTGGTGGGTGCAGCTGGTGGGGCTGGGGCCAGGGGAGCTGGTGGGTGCAGTGCAGCAGGGCTGGGGCTGGGGGGAGCTGGTTTGCTCTGACTGTCAAGGTAGATGCATCGTGGCGAGGCTGGGGTCCGGGGGAGCTGGTGGGTGCAGCGTGGCGGGGCTGGGGTTCGGAGGAGCGTGGTGCAACACGGTGGAGCTGGGAGCCAGGAGGAACTGGCTTGCTCTGACCCTGGGGCTGTGGCTGTGGCTTACCGGGTTAAGTACCAGCTACTCATCCATCTCAGAAGCAGTAGCGTCCCTGGACTGCCTGTGAGGGGAAGCCAGATCTTCCTTTCCAATACGTCAGCAGACATCAAAGGAAAGGGTTGTGAGTTCTGGACACATGGGGGCTGGCACCGTGGTGGCTCCCTCCGGAGGCAGGTGGCAGCAATGCAGAGACTTGGGGCAGCCCCCAGCCCACTGAGACCTGAGATCAGGAGAAAGTGGGGGTGAGGCTGGGTCACATGCACCTTTGAGGTTCAGATCTCAGGAGAGAGCCGCGGACAAACTGGTGACACACCCCGCATGTGCCCATGAGACTGTTGTAGGAGGTGTGTTTCGCCAGGGGCACTCCGGGGCAGAGGGTCGGGTTTTGCTGGGTCAGCAGTGTTGCTTTGGCCTGCCCTGGAAGAGCCGTGTGGAGCTGCCCGGCCCTGCTCGGTCCCCACGTGTGTGTCACTTTCCTCTTGCCCCCAGGAGCTGGGCAACAGCCTGGACAAGTGCAAGAACAACGAGAACCTGCAGCAGATCCTCACCAACGCCACCATCATGGTCGTCAGCGTCACCGCCTCCACCACCCAGGGGTGCGTAGACTGTGGGAGGGGGGCAGCTGTAGGGCGCACGGCAGCCCCACAGCGTAGCCAGGAGGGCTGGGGTCCCCCCGCAGGCAGCAGCTGTCGGAGGAAGAGCTGGAGCGGCTGGAGGAGGCGTGTGACATGGCACTGGAACTGAACGCCTCCAAGCACCGCATCTACGAGTACGTGGAGTCCCGAATGTCCTTCATCGCGCCCAACCTGTCCATCATCATCGGGGCGTCCACGGCCGCCAAGATCATGGGTGAGGCCCGGGTCGTGCGGTCTCAGGGCGTGGGGGTGGGGACCCTGAACCTGTCTCTGTGTGCGTGGAGACGGGAGCCCAGAGGGAGGCCCTGGGTCCACCGCAAGCGAGGAGGAGGGAGGAGGCAGGGATGGCCATGGGGCTGTGGGCGAGCAGAGCTGTGAGGAGGAGGCAGGGATGGCCATGGGGCTGTGGGCGAGCAGAGCTGTGAGGAGGAGGGGGGAGGCAGGGCACCACGGGGCTGTGGGCAAGCAGAGCTGTGGGGAGGAGGAGGGAGGAGGCAGGGCAGGCGGAATTGCGGCATGCCACAGCCCTGAGCAGGACCCGCCCTCTGGGTTCTTGAAGAAGGTGGGGACCCCGATTCTGGCCGAGTCCTAGTGTTAACTGGGGGCTCCTCCCCGGGCCCCGCTCGGGCACACGGGCTGCAGCGAGAGCCACTCTCCCACCGCGGGGCTCCAGGGCCCACGTGTGAAGGTGCACAGGCTGGAGGCGCCTTCCTTTCCTTGACCCCCTTCTCCTGCCACCACAGGCGTAGCCGGCGGCCTGACCAACCTCTCCAAGATGCCCGCCTGCAACATCATGCTGCTGGGTGCCCAGCGCAAGACGCTGTCGGGCTTCTCGTCCACCTCTGTGCTGCCACACACCGGCTACATCTACCACAGTGACATCGTGCAGTCCCTGCCTCCGGTGAGCCCCCCTGCACGGCCGCCGGCCGCAGCCTCAAGGAGGGTGGCCCTAGCGTGCCCTGCCGACCAGTACAACCTCCTCTCACCCGGGCCCATCTCGGCCTCTAGCCGGATGCTCGCCCCAGCCCCGGCTGTGAGGTCACTCCCGCACGGCCAGCCCTCCAGATCCCAGGTCTACATGTTGGGCACTTGCAGGCCCCCAGTGGGCAGTGGGGGCAGAACCACATGCCTCCTGG